AAATCCAATGAAATAATTTGTAAATATACCGTTACATAAAATAAATATAAATTCAAAATGTATTATGAATAACTTACTGATTTTGACAAAGCACGAACAATTTCACCAAAGCAACGTTCCAAAGTAGCTACGGCAATACTGGACCCGGAACTTTTCAAATAATTGTACAATCTATCCAACTCCTTTAAATTTCGTCGGAATTTAACTTTGTTGGTAGACTCGACAACGACCAGAGGAAGACTTTCGTTTTTCTGTGCGTTTTCCCATTCCTGACCGCGAGAAGTTATGCGTTGTTTTATTTTCCTACAACGACGTTTCAAGGCTTTCTGTTTTTCTTTCAATGCTTTATTATCGTTCGAGGTAACATTATTGGACGTTGGTGTTAATACGTCACGTATTTGAGCTATGTTGAATCGTTGTAATTCGTCTCTCGATGGTTCTCTACCGTCGTGTGCGTTACGTACAGCTTCGAGATGAGTTTTTCCTTTCAAATGACTCAGGAGATATACTTCGTTCGTTATCTAAATAAAATAATAATAAAAAATACAAAATCCATATATTACTTCTTTCTTCTAAATATTATTTAGAAATAAAGAAAAAAAATGATAAAAACAACTTACGTTTGTATCACAGAGCGAGCACTGCTTTTGAATGGGATAAGATTTGAGAGTAGGTGGAACTTCTTCCGATCTTAAAATAGACGACTCGACAGCCCTTTGACGAATATGTTCTATATTCTCAACATGCCTTCTAGCTGACTCCTGTTGCTTATGAGCTATCTTTTTTTGTAATTCCTCTTGATTAGCTAATTGAGCCGCGTGAAGGGCTGATAATCTTTCTTCGCGATCTCGAGCCTTTTCTCTCGCAAGTTCCTAAGTATTTAACACATGTTTTTCAAACAATTCGCACAAAATATTAATTTGTGAAAAAAAATGTATTTACCTGACGCTCTTTCACTCTTTCAAGCTGCATTTTTCCAACTCTCTCTTCTCGTTCTCGTCTAGCCTGTTTCATTTTTTGTATACGCAATTGTCTTTCAGCTTCCAATGCTCTTCTACGTTCCTCAGCAGCAGCTTCTTTTGCAGCTTTCTCTTCCTGACGTCTTTGACGTTCTTCTTGTATACCCTGTATAATTTAAAAACGTTACGCAACTACAAGTTCTCTATTTACAAATTCTAAGATTATTCTTGTGATATTAATTAATACCTGCAATCGTTCCTCCTGTTCTTGACACAACGCCATAAAATCATGCCGTTTATTTTGTGCTTCGAGTTCATTGATAAACGCGATTTCTTTTAATTTCGAATCCTCGTCATGAGCTTTCCTTACTATTTCCAACAAATGTTGTGTTCTATTTTCTTCCGCCCTCTTAAGTTTCATCTCCATTCTAATTCTCTTGTCTTCTATCAACTGACTTTTAGCACTTTTTACGTCCTCAACCTTGTTCAATAATTCCCTTAATCTTTGCGACTTCTCCATCAATAATTTTTGACGTTTGTGTTGCGCACACGCTTGTTTCGCTTGATATCTGCGTAAGGTTTCAGGTAAGGATCGTTTTCTGGATGGCGAAGATAACTTTTGATGCAGTTCAAGAGCTCTTCCAGGATGACGTGCTACGAGTGCTTGTAACTGTGCGAGAACGTCAACTCGTTCTGCCCATGACATGCCTTCCAACATATTTTCGTATCTATAAAAACAACGTCGATAAAATCGATAATAGGAAGAATGTAAATAATTAAAGTGTTTCTTTATTCGTACCTATCCTCTAGACTGATATCATCGGAAACAGCATCGATTACTACCGATTGTTCGTCCTCTATCTCGAGAACCATTTCCCCATCAGTTTCATCAGTTTCCGTGTCGATGTCAAATTCGGTAGATTCTAATTCTAAAATTTGCCTTTGTAAAGAAGCCTCTTCATCCGACAACTGTTGCGATCTTTGAGAATCCGCTTCTTCGGTCTTTCTTTCCTCTTCTAAAATAATTCGTTCTCTCTCAGCTTGAGCAGCCATAAACTGCTGTATACGTTTTTCAAGCAACTCTGCGTCACTTTTGAAAATAGCTGCGATCATCGACGTTGAATTAGTGTCGTTTAACGACAATGGAATTTTCATCACATTGCTGTTATCCCAAATAGTTTTATTGACTTTATTACCGTTCAAATTTGATTCTCCTTTGACTTTTTCTACCTCGTTATTTATATTTTTCCCAGCCTTTCCTACCATACACTTTTTCTTATACTTATTTCCATCGGGCGTTAAACAATTCTTTTTGTTTCTTTCAGAAGGACTTTCTATGGATAAGGCTGGTAACGATGTGGCCGTACTTGGTTTATGAAAACGCGTAGACATATTTAAATTGTGAGTACTTCCTCTTCTGTAGCGACTACGAACAGTTTGCCAGCCATCACCTTCGTCTTTCGGTTTAACGTTACTCGTTTGTTTCGTTAATACCTCTACCGAACCGTTCATGTCACTCTCTTGATTTTTTTTCGACAAAATTTCATTACCCTATAAAAAGAAAAAATATTATATATCCATTTTATTAAATAATATAAATGCATGTATTATAAATACCTTTCTTTCTACTTGCTGTGGTCGACGTCTGATTATAACAGATGTTCCTGGTCTGGCTTTATTCGCAGACGATACGGTTCTCTCGCTCAAAGTTGTTTTGCTTCTAATAAATTTCGGTGTTTCTGGTAAATTAGTTGCTTGTTGTTCGTTTGGTCGTCTACGCGATGATACCGTTGAATACGCTGCTTTGTTCGTATTATTTATCTCTTTATTAGAACATTTGCTAATTAATTTATTATCTACTTTGTCAGTATTTATAAATTGTTTATTTGTTTTTTGCTTTATTTTATTATTCGATTCTATCGTATTTTTAGCATTTTTCGAAGCTACCGTTGTATCAATATTTTGCGTTTGTAATTTATTATTATTATTATTAACTTGTATTGTTTTATTATCGACGTTTACATTTTCTAGAATTATTTGACTTTCATTATTGTCTATATTCTGTTTCGTGACTTTGGTATTATTTAATTCTGTATTATTTTTATTAGCTGTTAATGTAATCTCCGATTTACTTCGACTGCAAAGCTTACTATTCGTTTCGTTTTCCTTAATCGTTTTATCCATTGATTCCATGTTTTGATAAATACTTGATTTCGCATTTTTATTATTAATACAAGCTTGCTTATCAATCGATAAATTCGAATCCAATATTTTTAAAGTACTTATATTTTGCGATGAATTTTTACTCTGTTTTCCAACATTTCTAGTATCTGCCTTAATTTTAGAATCGCATCCATCTTCGCTCGTTGATTTATTATCTATTAAACTATTATTTCCATTAGCTTTTGCATTTAATGCAGGCTTTACTAGAACTTTATTAATAGAGCTAGTTTTGGATGCTACAGATCTTTCTTTGTTGGACGATTGATTCACACCTTTCTCTATCACGTTCTTCCTTTTCTCTTTAATATTTGTTGAATTATTTTTAGATACATTGTTCTTATTATCCTTTATTATTTTATGCAATGATTCCTCTTTAATATGATTTATTTTATTGTCCGTAACCATGGGTTTGGTCTCTGATATAATTTGATCAATGGGACTTCTGCAAGTTGATTCCGGTGGGCTTATCCTTTGTAACGGGCTAGTAGATTTTGGAATTATTGTTGAATTCCAGATACGACAAGGTGATGTCTTTCTTACTTCCCATGCTAATGGTGTACGTCTTAATGGTGGTGGTGAATTTTCATATGCCCATTTAACTTTGAACCATTCTATTAAATTATGGAAGTCTTTTGTATAATTTTCCAACACCAAAATAACTTCCTTGCATTCAGAAATATTTTCATCCTCTTCGCATGTTTGATAAATACCATCAACCGCTCTTTGTAAATTTCCAAATAAAAAAGCCCAATAACGAGCTTGTAATTCTAAAATATAAAAACACGTTAATAATAAGAATAAAATAATCAAAGTATTTTACAACATACCAGACTTTTTGTCTCGACCAGTGGAAGCTGATCTAACTCTGGAGGCTGGTTTCATAGATCTCTTCATAGATCCAGATTGAACCACTCTCGGTACACTAGGTGGTTTTCTTGTTACTTTTTCTGTATTACTTGTGCCAACCGGTACATTAAAAGCAATTAGATTTCTAGCTGCACGGCCTTCTTCTTGTATAAGCAATCTGACATCTGCCATTTTTAATCTAATTTATCTACAAATAAATATATAATTAACAAAGAATTTAATGACATTTTTCATTAAAAATCAAGCACATTGAACTTATATCATATTTAATGATTTTTAATAGAAATGTAAATTAAATCGAATTTATTGAAACATATAACCAACATTTTTGTAGAAAGTGAAAAGTCAAAACATGAGGTTATGTAAATAGTAATCAATGCAATATCGTAAAAAACAAATGTAACATTTTAATATCTCTACGAATATACTATTAAACGATAAAAATAACATTTGTAAATGTCAGAAAAATTAAAATCACAGAAATAAAAATTCGTCGTTGGTCAAAACTTTTCACTTGTCAATGTCCAAACGTATGATGTTTACAAAAGAATACACAGTGACTTACCTGCGTAGTAAATAAAGGTGTACACTTTTTAATGACATTAGGTTTAAAGAACTCTTTTACAAGTATATAATATGAACGTCATTCCAATGGTGCTATGCAACATTATTCTATATATCACGTCACATATTCAAACAAACAATCACCATAATAAACCTCACGACTGTTTTTACTTCTACCATTAACTATAATGCACCAATGTTTTCTCGAACAACCTCTGCCATTCGCATTGCATTTTAACGCCATCTGTTTCTAAATACAAATTTTGAATGTAGGTGGCGCGTTGATAGTGATGCACGCTAGTGGCGCCCCGTTGTCGTCGATGGCGGAACGCCTCAGTAGCGCCTCTGTCGTCGGCAGGAACGTATCACGTAAAGTGTCATAAAAGAAAGTTGTCAATTTGGTTCCCCTGATCGGAACGCAGCGCTTCTTCGAGACTAAGAACGATATATCGTGGGGGGTTGGATATCACGCACGCACGGCTGGTAAAAAGACCGAAGCCGATTTTTCGGTCGGCCGGGAGGGAAGCCGACGTCACGAACGGGTAAAGAAAATATTAAACATCGGGAGGAGAAACGATAAGAGGAGAAGGAATAAATATAAAAGAAACAGTTTTAATCTTAATAATAATACGTACAGAAGGAAGAGATAAAAACCATTTAAATAGAGTCTTCTAGAAGAAAGGAAAGCAGAAAAATAAGAAGAAGAGGAAGAGAAGGTGGAGGAGAGGAGGCGAACGAAACTGCCAGATTTGCAGGACCGACAAGTATATATATATATATTTACGGAAAATAAGGATCGTACGTATGACTCGTTACTATCGCGGTTGTTCTTTCTCTCCGCAACCCTTTTAACTTGGTCGTCGTCGCCGTTGCTGTCGCTGCCGCCACCGCCGCCGCCGCCGCCGCCGTCATCGTCGTCGTCGTCGCTTAAAACTTTTCTCACGTAAAACAAGTCTCCAGAGAAGGCTCGAGTTTGATGTGTACCTTTTCTTTTTTTCTCTTTGTTTATGATAGGGCTTGTTGAAAGTTGATAGAATGAAAGATATCGTATATGGAATAAACTAAATATTCCAGAAGTAGCCAAACACGCGTTTAATTATTTTTCTTATTATTCTACAAACGATACGTTTCTCTTCTATCTTTTTATTTCCTCAATTATTTTCGAGCGTTGATCCATAAAAGGTACAGCAGGGTGGTACCAATTTTGTTCTTTTTTATTCTCTTTCTCTCTCTTTCTCTCTCTCTCTCTTTATCTCTTTCTCCTTCTCTTACTTTGACTGTTCTTTGTCAAATCGTAGGACAATCGAATGATACGCGTTTCCCGTGGTCTAACGTGCATAAGCGTCGTTCAACGTGACAAGCTGTCAATGTGCGGCTTTATTCCTCATCGTTATTTCCAAGAGAGTGACACTTTAACCAAAAGTATATTGATTTACATACGTGTGTAGAAACGCGTGACAATGAATCCTTATAATCATATCAACTATGTATTTTATTTCTTTCTTTTTACCTTTTTTTATATAATCATCGATCCTCTTTTGTAGTCAAGGTGATTGTTAAATAATCCATTTCTCCTACATTTACTTATCTTTTTTTTTTTCTCTTTTATATAAATAATTACAAATGCATTAAATAATATTATTTTCCTTTGTTTCTATATTCTGTGTTCTGGTTTCAATCGTCAAGATATTTCACTTAGATTCTAATTTCCTCTACTTTGTAAGAAAGTTGTTGACTAGTTGTCTTTTAACATATCTCTTATTTATTTTTGTTTATAGAATTTTCTAAAATATGGCTGCGCTACCAAGAAGAATTATCAAAGAGACTCAAAGATTAATGCAAGAGCCTGTTCCTGGTATCAGTGCTGTGCCAGATGATACAAATGCTAGATATTTTCATGTCATTGTAACGGGACCTGAAGATTCGCCGTTTGAAGGTGGTTTATTTAAACTTGAGTTGTTCCTACCAGAAGATTATCCGATGTCAGCGCCTAAAGTGAGATTTATAACGAAAATTTATCATCCAAATATCGATAGGTAATTATATCTAATTTATATTGAAAATGTTTGCTTTTAAAAGGTAGTGTTTATTAGAAACATCAGATAAAACAGATTAAGAGACATGTTGAAAAAGATAAAAAAAAAAGCTATGTTTGTTGGAATGCACGATAAGTAATATATTTAATAATTTACGTTTGACTTTAGATTAGGCAGAATTTGTCTAGACATACTAAAGGATAAGTGGAGTCCTGCTTTACAAATTAGAACGGTTCTTTTATCCATTCAAGCACTTTTGAGTGCGCCAAATCCAGACGATCCTTTGGCTAATGATGTAGCTGAACTTTGGAAAGTTAATGAAGGTGAAGCAATACGTAATGCCAAAGATTGGACCCGGAGATATGCAATGGACAACTGATCTCAGCTTTGTCGTATAATTTGCAACGCAAAGCAAAGCAACAACGTTACCCCGATTGTCCCAGTTTATTCGTCACCTTACCCGCACTAGCTGCATATTCTGCACCTGTGTCCACGATTTTGCTATAAAACCAATAAAAGTTTTGTAAGAGTAATTAGAATGAAACTGTATTTTCTATATTGCGGGAAATACAAAAACGTCTTATTTAGATTTCTTTTTGAAAAATTCATTCATTTATTAGCAAACTCGTATGATTGTTTTTTTTTTTTTTTCATCTTTAATTAAATACAAACCAAAAAGAAAAGAACAAAAGCATATATATATATATATATATATATATATAAATAAAATTAGAATTTTAATAGAAAACGTTAATTTCAATTGAATTTGAGAATGGGAGACAAGCACGCTATATACATTATACTAATTTACTAAATGATTACAAAGTTATCTTGTACAATGCATAATTAACATGGATTATGGCTGATATTTTTACTACGCTACTAAAAATGTCCTAGAATCAATTAAGTTATATTAATGCAATACATAATTCTCTCTTTATCGAATCCTTTTCATTCTACTAACTAAATATCACCCTGGGATTGTTACGTGGGTATACATATATATTTATAAATAATACAAGAAGATATAAATATGATCCTTATTATTGTATTTAAAGGCAATGATATTTATTTATCGATTAATCCATTAATAGAAATTTTAAGATAACAAAACTACAAACTTCAGCAAACAAACAAACAAACAATTGACCTTTCTAAATATAAATTCATTATTTACTGTACGAGTAATTATTATTTATAATTGCAGGTAAAAACAAAGTGATATAAAAGAATTAATATAATTTAACAAAAGTTATTATTATATAACATAAAAAATTGAAAAGTTGTATCTTTGAAAAAAATGAAAAAAAAAAAAAAATGCATCTTTTTTTTTATCATTCAAGCTAATATCTTTGAATATTAACGTCGATCGTAAAACAAGAAATTAATTTGTAATTATCTCTATTGAAATTACGCGTTCAAATGTTTTCATCATTTCCATTAGATATATAGATGACTGAAAAATATGAGATAGGTATATATATATATATATATTTATGTCTTGCTAAAAAAGCTTGCACTACCTCAATAGAAAATTTGGGTTCGATGTAAAATTTGATTAGTATCGTGAAAAGAATATAATACTCGCTTATAAAAAAAAAAAAAAAGAAGGGAAGAAAGAAAAAAAGATAACGAGATATATGAGAACTGTTCAGTGCACACATCGATTAACTTCATAAAACAAAAAGTTGAGAAATGCGATGAAATAATAATGCATAGTATATTGTTCTTTAAATTCCTATTAATGGTCAAACAAATTTTACCGTTTAATGGCGTTAATTTTTATTATTCAGAAAAGTTATTATAAATATCAAAAGTTGTGACTAAACCAAATGTTTTACCACTTAAATTGAATATTTATCAAAAAGTGGAATTGTGTTAATCGATGTGTGCACTGAACGTATGGCTCATATATGAAAATGCAAATGTGCGCGTAGAAAAAGTTTTTACGCGTTAATAATAATATTTTCGTGAAGATGATTGATTGAATAGAACATTTTTCTGTATGCCAATTTAGCGTTTGTTCCATTAATGAAATAACATTATTTAAGCTTCCTTAAAATGGTTCTTTGGGTTTCTCTGTATTATGTAAAATATTATAATATATATATATATATATATATATATATATATATATATATTTCTTTATTTTCAAGTATCTTGCAACAACATTAAAAAAATAATTGTCGTTTCATTAATTGAATATATTAGATAAAAATGATTATGATAAGTTATAAAACTCCATATCAATTGTGTAAATGTTTTCCAAACACTTCTATGTCACAAGAAATATACAAAATTTTATATTTAATTAAAAGAACAACACACACAAAAAAAAAACAAATCTAACAACAAAAAAAGGCATGCAACATTTGCTTACATGGATTTTGATTTAACAAAAGCTTTGTGTACTATTTACAAATTTTGCGTATATACGGAAATTCGAGAATGTTATCAAAATTGGTTTCATTGTCTTTTATTAACGAAGTTTACTTTTTTTGTTTTTTGTTTTTTATTAACACACTGCACGTATGTATGTTGATCATTGTTTTTTTTTTCTTCAAACGAGAATAATCAATATTGTCAGTGCATTAGCTTTATATTATGTGTTTTATCGTATAAGTAAATTTATAATAATAATAATAATAATAATTATATTAATTAACGAAATAAAATATCACTTAGTATTTTTAAAAATAATGACAAAAATTGGATTAGTAAAGGGGGTGTGTCAAGAAATACTCACGAAGCAATTGCATACTTAAAAAAAAAAAAAAAAAAAACGCATTGCTTTGGAAGCAGTAAAAATATCTTTATAATAATATATATATATATATATATATATATATATTTTCAATTTAATTATAAAAATAAAAAAGAGGAGTGTGTGTAGAGGGTCGCGAATTTGCTGCGACACGATTAATAATTGATATCGTTTTTGACGATGTACACCGTAAAATTCATAAATAATTACTCTTTTATCAGAGTCAAGGCTAATTTATAATATTAGTTTTGAATGTGTACGTTGTTGTCCGGGTTGAAAAATTTCTATAAAGAACAAATATGCCATTGAAAATTGGCTATGGAAAAAGAATAGCAAAGTTAATTAATTCATTCATTCAAATATACATGCAGTCACAGTCGGACGAACGTTTATTAGAAAAAAAAAAATAAATAAAAAACAATTGGAATAATTTTTAGAAAGGTGCGAATGATGATTTAATAATTCTTTAAACTTTAAGAACAATTCCAGATTTAATAATTTAATATTGTGTAATATTGTATTAACAAAATTAATGCGATATTTGCAGATAGATAGTTAAATAAATGAAGAACAAAAACTTAAAAAAAAAAAAAAAAAAAATGAGAAAAGAAATTACCACGAAGTGCTACAAAAAGCGCCCCAATTAATAATAATTGTTCTATGGTGTATTGTTGAAAAACATTAAATGAAAAATTAAGTCAAGAAATTCACGCGTGTGTGTATGCTACGTGGTAGATAATAAATAAATAAATAGATAAAGAAACGTATAATGGATGCATGTATATATATATAGATGTCTTGTGAACATCGTATTATAATAATAAAATATAGGTTGTTTAAATATACTGTTCTTTTTTTATATGCATATATGAGATTGTTTATTTTAAAAAGTGGTATATATAAGTTACTTGAAAAACAAAAAAAGAAACATAAATTTAAGTTAATGATCAAATTAATTACAATTTAACGGAATGTTTTTTTTTATTTTAAACAAAATTTGCAATGAAATATGATTAACCCTTAAAGTGCACACTTGGTAAAAAGTTAATTAAAAGTATACTGTGGATGTTTGTAAACCTCAACGTGTTTGAACGCGTCTTCTGAAGCCGCTGTTTAATATTTAAAACTCGCAATTTTTTGAAAAATAATTAGATACATCTTTTTTTTAAATAGAATAAGTTTTATACCCATTTGAATGAACACTAGATGACGAAAAATAATCCATTTTTTCGAATTCAGTATCGTTTTCGACAGATCAAAAATTTGTTGGGATTGTGAAACACCCCATGTGCACTTTAAGGATTAAATACCAGTAAGAATTTGTTGAAAAAAAGTTTTTTTTTTTCTAATTTGACGATATAATAAAAATGTTTATTTAGAAAATGGCATAAGTGTCAGTGTACTTAGGAAAAAAATCCTTTAAAAAAAAAAAAAAAAGAGAGAATTGTCACTAAGAAAACTTTTTAAGTTTGTTCTGCCCATACTTGGGCCATTGTAAAGAAAATATTAGTTTAGAATATTTTATAGAAAGGTAAGAATATTTTTGATACTTATAACGTTTAATATTTTTGTGCTTATATAAATTTTGTTGAAAGCACTCGAAGGAATTTTGTTTATTAAACTAACTAGCTATATATATATATATAGAAAGAGATCAGATGGAGTTTCTTAGTTAATTTTGTTTTGTTTTTTGTTGTTTAAATTAATATTCTTTTGTTTCTTTTCATTAAACAAAAAATAATAATTACCTTTTATAAAATATGATACTGATTATTATTAGAATGCGTAGTAACGCGAGAAATACGTGGGGCAAATGTGTTAAAAAGAAGAAAAGAAAATATTGAGATAAGATTCGAATTAATATGAAGGGGGAAATTCCCCCTTCTACCCTAATTGAAATTTCTATATGTAATATGACGATGATTTACTAATTTTGAAAAAAAAAAACAAAACAAATGTCATATCTTATAATAATTATTTATAAAATTACAGTTGCCCAACGTATTTCTACAAATATTCCTAACTATAGCAACAATTAGATTTTTGCGTCGATAAATAAATAATGAATAATCGTGTTTTCTTTTCTTTTTTTTTTCTTCTTTTTTTTTTTCTTACAAGTAAGTTGATGTATATATATATATATATATATTATAAGAGTTGCAACTATTCCGTTGAAACTTGAAATCTTAAGGCATCTCACACACTGCAGGTCAGTGACACAGAAATACATAGATGCATTTTGAATTTGAATTCAAAATTACATTTTATTATTACCTTAATACGGACTAGTATAGTAATAATAATATTACCATATACACATTCAAATATAGCTCACTTATAATTTTTAACTTATTATACACTCGCAAACACACACATTGATAGAAAGAGAGAGAGAGAGAGAGAGAGAGAGATTAGTAGTCATGATATTTTGTAGTGTGTCTTTCATGACTAGTGAAGCTATAGCGCAAGCTCTATGAATGTATAAGATATAATTATAGTTTTTCCTTTTTTTTCTTCTTTTTTTTTCTTCTTCTTTTTCTTCTCATTTCTCTTACGAACAGTTTTATTTCGAATATTTGTTTTTTTTTCTCTTGTCATTATTCTTTTTATTATTCGGTAACGATTCTTTCCTTCAATTTTGAATCTATTCTTCCTCGTTAACTGACATTGCACAATCATATCATTGTCATGTTAAAAAATATCAAACAAAATATTCTAGAAAAATGTGGAAGTAATCTTTGGCTTACTATGGCATTATGCTTTTTATTATTACAGTTAGATGTTTATTTGAACAAAACATATTTTAACTTTTCATTAATTTGGAATATATTTCTCCATACTCTTTGATCGTGACCATAACAAGCCATATTATTATTATAAGAACGTAAAATTATTACAACTACTTAGATTAGAAATATAAAACGAATAATATGTATACATACATACATACATACATACATATACATATACATATATGTATAAATAATACCCAGGAAATGAGACGCTTATATATATATATGTATATACTTTGAACAATAAATCTACATAATACTATATTTTTTATTTATAATAATAGACAAAAGAGATGACCATGCAAGAGTCAGATTGGTTGACAGTTAAAGTTTAGTCGCAAATGTGTTATTTAAAATGTTGATTAAACACATTCAGTCAGGGTGGCTTGCAATAATGGCTGAGTATTAATTTTTCATATATTTTTTTGTTAGCATAATTAATGACTAGATAAGTTTTTAGCCACCCGATATAATAATAACATCTTGTTTGATCCCATATATATATATGTATATATATATATATATATTTCATAATATATTCGTACCGCTCTGTTGTTGCGCTCACCAAATATATGGATAAAAATTTCTATGCCAAAATTCATTGCCTTATTAATGGATACACCGACAGTGAACATGATTTTCATCCAGAAATACTGGATGGATTATTTCTGTAAAGTATAATACTTTCTGCCACGTATGTTTGTTTTTTTTTTTTTTTTTTTTTTTTTTTAAATATGATTTATTATTCTCATAAGGAATGAATGTATGTATGTGTAGTTTCTAATGATATAGATTTTTCTTCATGATATGCAATTTATAATACGCTTTCTATATACTTTTTTTTTTTTCAATCAATTGAATTCTTGTACATAGGTCAAAACATTATTCATAGGTTTATTAAATATATATGGAGGGAGAAGGTTGTTTTTCATTAAAAAATTAATTCAAAGTATAAAAAAAATGATATCTGTTTGATCTTTACATTATCATTTAAAATAATAATTCATCATACAAATTTGTATCCAATTAGTTTATCCATCGATCCATCATGTAAATTGAAATGAAAGTTATATTTATTTATTAAATTTAAATGACCATTATTTTGTACAGTTAATTTATGTTCCTTTAATCAATTATCATTTTTGTTTTCACTATGATTTATGTTGTAACCTATGCATTTACATGTATAATTACGTATGTCTTTTTTTATTTATTTATTTATTTTAATTGTATATATATTTCGATAAACATTTCTAACATAATCGTTCTTTCCCCATAAAAATCGCTTTAATGTAATTTTAAATCGGATTAAAGCATCCATCTTGGACTCTTCCTTTCGACTTGATATATTTTCTTGTTATCTTCTCTCATAAAGAACTCTTATGTAAGAAATGTTTGGAAATAGTGGTTTTAGTTATTATTTCAATAATTAAATCGATAGCTTTTGCTTGCTTAGAAAGAAAATATTCAATATGATTTATTAATTAATGAAAAAAATGCCAAAAAAGCAATGAGATGTTAACGTATCGTTTAGAAATTTTTCCAAATTTTTATTTTATAGAATTAATAGAAAATAGAATATTTATTATAAAATATATTTCAAATTGTATATTGAAATAAGTGTGATTTATTTGCAGTTAAAATCACATTGCATGCAAAAGAAGAATTCAATTTTAAAACGTTAATTACTTAATGTACTTTGGCATTGAAATTTTATCAAACACCAGGAGAGTTCTAAAAATTTGCACCACCGCATATACATTCTTCAGTATTCTAAGCAGAATAGTTTTAAAGGTGAGAAATTTTCAGCAAAAATAGATACAACTTAGATTATATTATAATACACAGTACTTATATAGAAGAGAGGTACCATTTCACTGATGGTATTATTTGACTTTATTTAGCTTACATATATATATATATATATATATGTAATGTGTGTGGAATGGATAATTTATCCTATTATTTTTATAGCATAGATTGCATCAGTCTGTATATTTTAGAACAATTTTATAATACACAGTGCTACAGTGACTCAAGTGTAATTGGATTATACATTGCATATCAATGCATTTGAAAGTAGTTACACTAAGTGCGCACAACCAGCCACTACAGACTCCAATAAGAATATCTAGAGAAAAGTGTTGCCTTTTAGGTAATAAGAACGTGTGATTAAGATTGAAAAGTTTCAGTAAAATAAATTGTATCTCTCCTCATAATACGATCACAAATATGACGGCAACGCTATATTATAATATTTAGGAATTCTTTTCAATGACAAATTCTTCCCTGTTGTACGCTGACTAAAATAAAAGGCTTTTACACGCACGCAAGAAGCAGCCTTATTGAAATCTGTCAGCTTTAGTATTTTTTTTTTTTTTTTACATTGTCATAGTATAGAAATATTGTACGCAATTAGTAGTCATTTAAGTTATGTATATAATAATAATAATCATCATCATTTCTTATTTATAGCCAACCCTTAATTTCTTTTTTTTTTTTTTTTTTTACATATTATTATCTGTAGAAATGAAGGAAAAATTATAACTCAGATTATTCTAATAAATATACAATTTGCTAAATATTATAACACTTTGTTCATAAAATAATCTCATGAAAATGCAAACGTTATTTATAGAATTATTTATTAGTGTATAATCTTTCAATCAAATCATCATCAGTAGCGCTACTATTCAATATAATAACTTGTGCGACATGCATTTCGCATCTCTTCTGTTGTTGGGCTATAATGCAAATATTAAGATCTTCTTTAACTTGTACTTTTTTGTACATACATTTTTCTTCATTATTCATGCTTCATCGTCATTATTATATATATATATATATATTCAATTTGTTACAATAGAATATTACATATAATAGCCCTGTCGATATTCTGCATATACATGTACGCATATCCTATACAAATGTTGTTATCTTCTAGTGATATATAGAAAGAGGTAATAAAGTAGAGTGCAGCTTTTTAAAAAATAAAAAAATAAAAATAAATGTAGCTTTTTAAAAAAAAAAAAAATTAATAAACGAAAAATATTATCATGGTGTTTGGGGAATCCTTTTTTTAATGTTATGTTTTGCTGACTCTTCTATATAATTACTATGACATATATATGTATGACATACGTGTGTATATAAATGCATATATACACATATATGTATATATCACGAGACTTATGCATTGAAAATTCTATATAATAGACAATAGTGTTTAGTACAAATTAATAAGACTCGGGCAATGCGTCTCAAGCATCGACGAGCTCAAGGATAAAAAAGATTAAATGAAGGATGTAAAGTTGAGTCTCCAAAAGATGATAGGAGATACGTTTTTTTTTTTTTTTTATAAATATTACTACGTCATTAGCTAATATAATATAATATACAGTTTCAGCTCTGCTCTAAATATCAATAAAGAGCTTTGTGCTATTTATAATCATGTGCACTGCATCATCTGCATCGTCGCCTAGCGTCTTTCTTGGCGCAAATAATGTGATCCTCTATGGCAATTGATATTAGAGATTAGTGTGTATCATTTTTTTTCCTTTTTTTTTCTTACATAAAATAAAGCATATACATTTATATCAATTACAATGATTTTTCTGATTAGCCTAAAATGCTTTAGCATTGTCACTATACAGATGCACATGCACTGTAGACTTTATGTTAATCTTAAAATCGGTTTACGTATGACTAAAGGATGTATCTCTCCTTAGTAATTTCTTTTTTTTCTTTTTTATTTTGTCTTCTTTCCTTTTGTACATTATACAAGATTGCTTTTATGTGGAAAGAGAAAAAAATGACGGATATGGAAAGCAAGAGAAGTATATATTATTATTATTAATATTAATAATTATTATTAATTATTATTATTAATTATTATTATAATTATTATAATTATAATTAATTAATATTATTATTAATTTTTGCTCAAGAATTATTGCATCATATTCGTGTGAGTAGTTGCAACTCTTGCTTGAAGCTTTAAACGCTAGGACCAACTATTCTCTCCTTTATGGGAATGCAATTTTTTTTGTCAAGAGTGAATTTTTCAAAGGCATTTCAAAGGACTTGCCATAGAAAATCTCATTAATTTAATAAAGTGTATATTTATATATATATTTTTATATATATATATATTATGTATATTTAAGGTAATCACAATAATTATATAAATTATGCTCGAGTAAATATTTAGTAACGTTTTCATTAACGTACCTAGGTAGTCTTGGTTTACTAAGCAGGAGCGCTGATGACGTATGAACTGCTCCATTGGAATTGAAACACAAAGCAATTTGCGTGAAATAATCTGTACAGTAAAGTGGTAAATAGTGTGGTAGTGGATGGCAGATGTATTGTCTGTTCACTACGCATCAGCCAGGCAACTGAACGTTTATATGTACACCGGAGACTCCTGGCCAGTTAATAGCCTAAACATTGAAGTGGGCATTGTCTTCATCAGGATCTGTAAAACAATGAATAACTTTGACTGTGGATTTTCAGGTATATAATTATATCGCATAATCGTTCAGTTTATACTTACTTCACCAACAGAAGTGGCAAGAAGATTAACAATCTTTTCATGTGGTACAGCAACAACACTCTGATTATTAATTTCGATTATTCTATGACCCACTCTTACTCCCCCTCTTTCTGCAATACCACCTCTTAACAAACTGCATATCACCCCATTCTGTACACTAAATCCTAACTGATACTTTGTATCGGGTCTCTTGATTTTCACTTCAACAACGGGTGCACATGGTACGACAGTTAATTTTACGACCGTTTGATTTTTTGAGTTCTTTATGTACGTCTGACATGTTGATAGAGGTAAGCCAACTAACGACACGCCATTAATTGCTATTATTTGATCACCAATATTTAATTGCCCGCAACGAGCTGCAGCACCAGCTGGTGCCAGATTAGCTATAACTACAGTTGGCAGCATAGAGCCCCATCCGGATTCAACTATCACTACACCAAGAATTTCACCTTTCGCTTTTGGTACTACTACCTGTAAATTCATTATATTTTCTTAAACATATTAGATAACTATTTTTTTTTTTTTTTTTTAAACAAGTATAGGAACGTATGTAAACGTGAAAGAATAACATCGACAATTACCTCTTTCTGCATTTCCTTTTTTGCAAACATTTGCAACTCGTCGCCAAATATCTCCTGTGAATTAAGTACTTCTTGATAATCCATCTCTTTAACAAAACTATGATCTTCTATTCCATTTGCTTTTAGGAACTCCATGTAAGCTACTTGAAATGCTTGTCCAATACTTTGTGCAATAAACTGAGCTTCTTCGCTTTCAAAAACGTGACAGATCATTTTGGGAGTCCTGTTTATCTTAGGGGCTTCTTCCATTTCATGAGGTACGAATCGTCTTCGAGCCATAAGAACAACCAAATCACCGATATCTGCTATGTATGATATCGTTCGTAAAGCATGATCCATCATAATTTCTTTCAAGTCCGTGTTAAGAACCATAATTTTCTCTGTTGAAATAAATAGGTCGACTTCGGTACTGGGTTGAGTTTCACCATCCGGTGCCTAAATAAAATCAAATATATATTTATGTAATATACAAACTATCTTGTACAAACATATGTGATATATTCCTTATAAAATGTACGTACCAGTGCCTATCGCAAGAAGCAGCATGTTAAATAAAGTAAAAAAAAAGAAAAAAGGAAAAAGAATATGTGATTATTAACATTTTGATAAAAGGATTGTCAAATGAAAAAGATTATACATTCCAATGCACGTTATTATCAGGCACTGATTTAAAGCGAATGATGCATATGGTTGAAATTGTATAATGTATTATTCGTGAAGATCCCATAAACCTGAGAGTTTAAATGTGTACTTTGTCTTAAGAGTATGTTAAAATTCAATGTAACGCTCCATTTATTGGTTGGTAAGAATTGAAGAGAATATATGAAGGAAATATATTTCTCACATTGATTGATATCATATTTGATTGGAAAGAGCAAACTAAGAAACATCTTTCCAAAAGATAATTAATACAAACAGAGGTAGTACATTTGGGTAAGGCGGACCTTTATTTTAGTCACAGCCTCTTCCACCATGTGATTCTTAAGGCGCTTACGCCGTTTACGTCCCCCTTCCTCTTCCACCTCCACCGACCCAAGAAATTGTAGTCTGAAAACGGTTGTGGGCCCCAAGGAGCCACTGATCGGGGCCAGTTTTGGTTGGGCGGCTATTGTGTGTGTCTCGGACTGGCCCCCACCAGAAGCACTCCCTATAAGTTCTTCGCTTGAGTCACATTCGTCTTCCTCTAGGCTTCCTTGCGAAGTTATGCTGCAGCGCCCGTAACCATGCTGCCCCCCATAGTTTAAGAGCGTAGCCTGCATTGGCACTGGCCCATCCTTCCGTTACGCGCACGCCAAACAAACAAACAAACAGAGGCTCTGCTAGTCACATTGCCACGCACCACCAACAAAACAAGGCAAAAGAGCCAAAAAGTTATTGGAATCTGAGTTGCTCTTTAAATCTCTATTTATTATAATTATTATTTCTATGTATATATATATATATGTATGTACTCTGTATGTGTGTGCAACATTTCCAATATATTTAAAACATTTAAATTAAAAGGATTTTTATGTATACGTATATAAAAGCATGCGTACTTTAAATTGTCTTTATAATAATTATCAAACATATTTATATATTATTAACTATTGATACACAGATATGAATGCTTGATGCTGACATTATAAATAATTACAAATATATATATATATAATGATGCAAAATTTAGACGATATTTTGTGGTAAGATTTTCATGAATGATTAACGATTAGCAACCCAGAGTTCCAAGTACAGGGTTTAATAATGTCAATAAGCAATGTGGTTTCAATAATTATTCAACATAAAATAGTAGTTATCGTTAAGTTTTACGATGAATAATTAAAGAAGAAAAGCAATCAAGGATATAATATTCATTATGTGTAATGAAATCTAATTTTAGCATTAGAAACATATTATTATGATGTAATTTACTCATTAATAAATTGATCTAACAATGAGTTTGGATTACGAGCAAGGATAATATCAATTAATGAGTTCTTTTCATGGATCCAGAAACAAACCCAAAAATTACAGATTAAGATTTGTTCATGTAATTTTGTAAGAGTATGAACACATACAGGATAAGTTGATAGTTCTTAACACTTGAGATATCTCTTGCTTGTTAGATTTTAAAATCATTTAGCATATGGTCTTGGTATTGTTTTTTGTTTGTCAAAGTATTCTATATCTCCCTCATGCAAATTTGAATCAAGAAATTTGTCAATAATATAAAAAAGATATTCCAAGTGACAACAATGATAGATCCACCGTGTATGAAAGTAAGTTTATTCAGTAGTGCAGGCGCTATCAAGTGTCTACTGATCATATACACTAATGAGAAGCGAAGAACATTACAGTTGAATTATTTTAACACAAATGGAGCAATCTAAATACTCAACGAATAAGAAAAATGCAAGAGTGAGGAGCTAATTGAATTCTAACAAAGAAAGAAAACAATATAAATCAACTACGTTCTATCAAATTATACAGACTATAAATAAATGAACTTGTTGCTTAATAATACAATAATACTTTGGATATTATATAAGTTCCTTTTTTCCTCTTAAAAAATAAGCAGTAATCACCTGCTTTAATCACTGCTGTAGCATGAAAAATACAAAGTAATAAAGTACGCATCATATAGGCCAAAGTTTTGCGAAGAAATATATTTAGTGCATAAAGCATACTTTCATTATATACGCATAACATAAAATAAAATAGATAGATAGATAGATATAGCAAGCAAATATAGAAAAATATCTGCAGAGAGAAAGAGATAGATAGAGAGAGAGAGAGAAGAGAGAAGAGAGAGAGAGAGAGAGACCGACAAACAGACACATCAAGTTACACTGAGAAGATGACAGTGTTCGGTGGTCAGGTGGTGGTGTTGGTGATGTGAGGAAGGGGGGCGCTACACTGAAACATTCAGGCCTCTTTGCACACCGGCCAGTTCACAATTATTAAGATTATTCATATAAAATAGATATTGTATACGTATAAAGTATACATATATATGTATATAATAGCCAACATCTGGACGTAATTATAATTGATGAAACTAATTTATTTTTACTTTTATATAAACTAATGAATTATTTGATTTAATAACATTAATCATTCATCGTTCAACTGATTAATCATTCTGTTAATTTATTGTACAATTTTCATAAGTATCTCAAAGTCAATTGTCCAAACATTGACTTGTAATTTTCAAAGAACCTAAGAGTGAAAGGAAAGATTTTACTGTAAGATATAAGAAGATAATTTTTTTAAGTATAAGTTATTTCAATAAATGTTCATAATTTATCAAGGAGATATGGAAAAGAATGGATATAAATGACCAAATTCTATATATCAAAATATTTTGGCATATATATATATATATATACATATATATATTTGAAACTATGGCAGTGCACATAATGCAACACCGAGTCACACTTAATTTTTTTTTCACAGTATTCTTTCCTGTAAAAAACTCTCAGGTTTAACTACCTTTAAGACTCAGTATTTTAACCATTTGAGGTAAATAGTTGACTGTATATTATCTATTTGGCATACTTAAAAAGTAAAAGCAAAATGTCATTAAGAGTCAATTTAATATGAAAATAAGACAATTGTTTTTCTCTTACACGGTAAGCTTATTACAAGTATTATAACAGTAGGGAAAGCCTGGCTTAACTTGTATTAAAAGACCATTTCTCTGAAAAAACCCTCAAAAAGTTAAAAATATTAACACTGAGGTATACATTGTTACAGTTAAAAATATTGCATTTTTATTAATGATAAATTAAGTTGCAAATTAAATCTTATAAAGCATTCAAAGCATGCTGCTATAATTTGAGATTATCATAATTCATTGTGTAACACTAATAATGGCAATCCTAATATATGTATAGAATCTGTTTTATACTGTCTAAAACAATAATTATACTATTATACTTATTCTTATATTTCCAATACATTTTACACGTTTAAATCCTATAATATTATTATTATTATTATTATTATTATCTTATTTGTCTACATTCAAATTTGAATATATAAACAATTAAAAATGGTCCTTTAAAATATAGAACGAATATAATTGTGTAAAATTAATTAATTTATTATATATATATATATTAAATAATTTGATCACACTCTAATATAAATACTTTGCATTGGGAATATAATAAATGTAATCGAACGATATAATTATTAGAAATAAAAGATTTCTTAAATGCATATAATGTTAATTTATGCATATATCGATGATGCACACATACCTTTATTCGAGAAACAGCTTCCTCTGCTTGACACATTCTAGTAGATTTAGTTGGTTGACCCTCACATACTAATTGAGTAGATCCTAAGTATCTTGCTCTGAAGAGTACACCTTCGATTAACACTGAAGGATCGTCCAATAATGCTGAAATTTCCACAGAAACGCACCATTTAGAATCAGCATTAGATTTAGCACTACACAATCTACCAAATGCTGCTAAGTATTCGTCAGACCAATGGATTAGACTAAATGATGTTAACAATTTGTTATCTGATAATATCCCTATTTGATTGGCTTGATTTAAAGCCATTTGATGTAATGTTAGTATTGCGTTACACATAAAAGCAATGAAAAGATATGAATGAAATATTTTAAAATTACAATTTATACATTTTCACTACTTTTTCAGATTATGCATATAGTATATGAGTAAGAAAGAAATATGTCATTGAGTTTAATCCGCTTATCAACAGAATTGATGAAATCTATCTTATCACAAGAAGTTTTGAAAATATGTTTCTGATTATCCAAAATATATGACTACTGGTAATTAAAGACATCTCTTTTGCACTCTACAAATTAAATATTGATCATTCGGTTGACATTTATCTTCTTTAATAAATTTGTTTTGCTCGTCAAAATAACAGAAAGTACATAGATTATATTGTAAATGAACAAAATTATTTAATAATGAATGCACGTTGATAAAACACATACCATATATATATATGCCATGACGAATCGATGCAAGTTCAATTATATGCATTCGAATAAGCAGCAATTAAAAAAAAGAAAAGGAAAACATATCATTAACATATTTTGTTAGTCATATAATGTGTAAATGGTTAGTTTTTTTTTTTTTTTTTATTATAATAAACGAGCAAAAATTATACGAATATATAATATTACCTTCTTTATTTCGACTTTTCTTCTTTCCTTCTTTATCCTGTAAAATATAAAGTATGCAATGCACGTAATAATTGTTCAAAGAATATTATTAAACATGTTGATATCTAGATTTGACTATAATGCTGACATAATAATCATTATTTAAAGCTTTTTATCGTATAACAAAATACCGATCATGCATTGTTTTGCAATTAATACTAAAATTACCGTAACGTTGTGTAATTAATAAAATATTATAAATATTCAGAATTTTGTTGTAGTTGTTGTTGTAAAATTATTAAAGTATTTTCCTAACAAGCAAAAAGAAAAAAGAAAAAAAAAAAACGATTAATCGTAATCGTAAAAGAAGACTCGTAAAATAATCTGTTAATCTTTGCATATAGAATACGGTGGTAAAGCTTTACTAAGTTAAAATAAATGTATGCACGTGAATGATATTATCACCTGGTAATTAATTATGATTATATTTACAATCACAACACACAAGCAAGCTCCTAATTAAAAAAATATGATCTATACATATCATTCCTTTTTAATAGATAAGACTTGTACTGATAATAATAATAATGAAATAAAATAAAAAAGAAATAAGCATATTATAGATAAAGGCAATAAGGATATATAAATTATGGAGAAATTTTAGGTTTGCATTGAGATTAAAAGAAAATTTTTCATTTTCAGGCACAGATGCATCTCTCAGCTTAAATATGCCAAATCGACAAATCATCATCATCATCATCATCATCATCATCATCATCATCATCATCATCATCATTATTACATGTGAACTATTTTTTAACAGATACAAAATTATTCCACTTCAATAATGTCTGTATATATTCAAATCTTAATTCTATTTAAGCTGATGAGACTGTAAGTTTCAATATACAACAACAATTGAAGAACTGTAGTAGAAAGATGAATATATGTATATCAGAAGAGATCTAGTTATCTGTAATGTTATAACAGAATTATCGTGCATCAACAAGTGCTATCTTATCATTGTCCATTAAAGTACCATATACTACATTCTAAAAAGAGACCCAAGTGAAAGAGATAGATAGATAGATAGATAGATAGATAGAGAGAGAGAGAGAGAGAGAGAGAGAAAGAAAGAGCATTGAAAGGGCACCTTTTTCACCTTGTTGCTAGATTCCTTCAGACTCTGAGGGGACGAGGGAGAGTTTTTGACTGGGGTCTTCTGTGGACTTGTTGCAGGTTGCGTAGGGGTGGTTACTTCACGTTCAGAAGGTGGTGATTGAATAACAGATACTACAGGAGGTGGAGAAATGGAAGTAGACGTAGATGGCAAAGGTTCGGACGATGCTAGCGTTTCTATAGGAGTTACACTCAAGGTTTTAGGAGGGGTTTGCTTAGGAGTTGCGATTTTTGCACTCATTGGTGGTAACATTGTCCTAGTCTTAGGCTTCCGCCACCCCTGCATAATACCAAGGACAACATTAATAGGACACCAATATACCTTTTTTCAAATCGCAATTAAGGAAATAATTAAATATACGTAATATATATACCAAATTTTATACATTATACCAATAAGTCACCAAATTTGAATCAATTAATCAACATGTGTTTATGTTATATGGATTGATTATGCATTCAAAGTAAACATATATATATATATAAATGTATTAGAGAACAAATTTTTTGTCACGAATATATTGTGTTATTATTGATACTTGATACACGAATATAGAAAATAATAAAAAAAAATCTTATTCCTTACTTTATCATCATAAAATCCTTGATCGTCAGTTCTTTGCTGTCCTAATAATCGATCAGTCTCAAGATCAGTATCTGCTTCTTCTTCGTCCGGACCTTCTTCTATCTCTACATCCGCTTCGTCGCCTCCTCGTCGTGCTTCCGAATCTTCGCTATTACTTTCCATGCATATTCTCCGCCTGAAATCCAATATACTACATTTTAGTTAGATGAACTCGCACAATAAATAAAGATAATGTAATGGGTATTCCAAAAGGATATAGCAGCAATGCACACACATATTCATCAAATAAATAACATTTACAATTACGATTTTGGAATACCCCTGTTCAAATAATGATAGAAATACCTTGGTATCCAAATAGGACTAACGCTTGGTTCAGGTGGTTCTTCAGAAGGAGATTTAACAGGAAGTGTTTTAGTTCTTTGCAATGCCATTCTAATATCTTTAATGGCTGCTTCTACTTCACCACCTATTTCCAAATTGACACTTTGTCTACCTTGTGGCGCAGGTGGTGGTGGTGTACCCAAAGGATCTAATCCATCGAGTTGTAATTCATTGGTTTCATACGAGTTTTCTTTCTTCGCAATAAATAAATCAGGCGATGATGTTTGTAATGTATTCAAGAGATCCTTTGTGACATTTAAACTCACATCTTTGACCGGCTCATTTTCAGTTCCTAACATATCATTACGCGTCCTTTGAATAATTTCCTTTTCTATTTCATTTATTTGCCGTTTCATAAGCATAACCGTTGGATTATTATTATCAGTGTCACTAGCATGTCCACTAGATAAACCATCTTCTAATACAGGCATACTCGTATAGATTCTAAGAGAATCCGAGTTATTTCCTAAATCTCCAACAGAACCAAGCAAACCACTGGCCGGCAATAATTCATTATCCATCATCATTAATGAAACTTCGCTATCTAAATCTCCACAATTGCTGTCGCAGTCAGTTGTTTCAGGACTTAATGTGAAATTACGCGAGTGGCCAACCTGTAAACCCACTTCTGTCTCTCCAAGATCTTCACTGCTTCCAGTGCCTACTGAGAGATCCAAAAAGTTGTTTTCGTGCTCGCCAGTCTGGAAAAAAAGAATACACAATTAATCAATAAATTAGTTTACATTAGAATATGTAAGTAAATTTTGTTATAAATAAATATAGTATTTACATTTTGAGGAAAATCAGATCTTTGCTTTTTTGGTGATTCGTGTACCATAACCTCCTCCGTAGGGGGTGGGCCACTAGCCAAACGTTGGCCAACATATGAACTTCCTCCTTGTCTTCGCAGTTCATAATCCAAGTCCTTGTAAAATTATTAAAAATCATTTTTATTAATGTTCTCGACATATATATTATGAGGTAGTTGAAATACTCACTTGGAACGGAAACGATTCAATGCTATTCTCTTTCTCTTTGGATGGAGGCGGGCATTTGAAAAATTCTTCTAATACTTTTCGAGTTTCAGAAAATTCATACAAGTAATCAAAAGTACTGCCACCTGGTGATACAAGACTACTTATATTGTCAGCAGGTAATGCTGGTGGTTTTAATGAATCTTCTTCTTCATCCTCAATTTTAGGAGACGACGGTGAAACGTTTAACGATTGATCTTCTGTGTGAGCTATGGTTGTTTCTATCACAGGTTTTTCTACGATAATTTCAGCAGAGACATCCTCCTTCTTTAATAATAAAAATGATATTATATAATATTAATGTTATATTTGTAGAAAAATAAAGAAAAATTGTGTTTATTAATATACCTCTTTATGATTGGGTGTTGTCGGCAATACTCTTTGTGGAAAACCAGGTCTCGGTGTCATGTATACAGAAGGTGACGATAACAAACTGGGAAGTTGTGGATTTTCACGAACGCCATAACGTCTTGGACTTCCTGAATACTGCGCAATTGGTAATTCTCCTATCACTCTTGCAACTTTATGGTTACGCTCTGGGGAAGGTGAATCTATCTCGCAATCGCTTGCTGTTGTTACAACCTACAAAGAAATCATTGTTTTAATTTACATATAATAATAAGTTAAATAATATTGAATGAGATACCTTGAAGAATTCAGATGTATTATGATGATACGTTGTTGTAGGACTTGGAGTGCTACCAACGCTAGAACTTGGCGGTTCAGGAGGAATACGACCTCTCTGAGAATCTTCTGTTTCCAAATCTAAATTAGTTGTTGTAACTTGAGTTGTATTATTTGATGCTAAATCCAAACGCAAACCTTGCCAGTTGTCATCTATATCGTCAAACACCACCACTTCACCGTCACTAACAATAGCCATACTTCTTGCAGGTGTAGTGTGATTAGATTGATAATCTACACAGTTTTTCGACAACCCATAATCCAGATCAGTAATACTTTTAGGTACACTGTATTCTACATTATTGCTATTTAAAATTGAATCATAATTAATAATACAATTGCTACGATTGCTTTTAGGAGAATCGTAATCAAGGATAGACTTGGTAGGATTACGTCGTACTGAATGCACCTCGGATGAGAATACAGTCTCTGTAACCTCTCGGTTTGTACGTTGTTTCCTTGTTTCACCACATCTGTAAAAACATTATATATGTAATAAAAAGGATTAAATGATATTTGCTTGTAGATTTGAATGCTAAAAGAGAAGTAATAATTACCGGCTTCGTAATTCCCAAATAGTTTGCGTGCTCGGTGATTTATTGTTTTTCTTAATGGATAACTTGTTATCTGCTTGAGTATCTTCGTTATTTAATGAATTGGATGCAGCATGAAAGCGTGATTTCCTTGCTGCTACTTTTCCTCGGCTTTGCGAAAATACTTCTCGACCACCAGCAATTTCTATAATTCTGTACAGAAATAAAAATATGATGATTTTTAAATGATAATTTATTGTAAATATTGTTCTATAAATGATCATAGAATTTATAATTGAAATTTCAATATGTTACAAGTACAATTTTCTACTACTTTATATCATACACAATAATTTGTATGTGTTGTCATAAGAAAACACAGGTAATGTCATTTCTATAAACAATATAATGGATGATTCAAATGACAGAATGAACTAACCGCTAAACGTCATATCAAATGCAAGCGCTTTACGTTCCCACCTCTTTGATGGAACATATTTCCCTCTCTAAACATGTGTGTTGTTCATCAACGTTTAGTGTTTATGTATTTTTTGTACGAAACCATAAGAAGTCTTCTGCATTATTATCGATAGATCTAATCAATTGTTAATAAAAAAAGAAAAAGTAATAAGAAAGAAGGAAAATAAAAATTCCATGATAATTAAATCACCGATTTTTTTGTCGCTAGAAAAACAAAAATATCATCTTTTTGATGTTTAATCAAAATAGTTCGTGTAACTGTTCGTTTGGCGGCGCTCTCGTCGATCTCGAATAGAAGTGACAAACTTTTTTAATCGACGCTTTGTTATCGCGCTAAAAGAAATCATACATCGATATAAAAAGTTATTAATAATAATTTATATAAATCGTGTATTCATTTTCAAAAGAGACAAGAGAAATATTTGTACAGGTATGTATACACGGTTGATAATAATACATTGCTTCTTCTTAAATAGGTCAAACGTTTGATTACATGCGTTACCTGCGATCGATTAAAAGCATTATCGAACAGTAACGATAAAAGATCGATAGCATTTCAACGATATGAGAAACATTTGAATTTGTGTCACTTGTATGTAAAATATAAAATGATTGAAATCTAAAGTATTTTTGAATATTTCAATGATCGTGAGGAAGATTTTGTTCGAGAGATACGAACGTTTAATTATTCGGTATATTATTTTGTTGATAATTAAAATCACGAGAGAAAATAGTTGAAAATGTAAGCGTGGTGGAATAAATTGTTGAACGATTTAAAGAAAAAGAATAAAATCGTACCTGGATGATAAACCGACAAAGAGAGTGTGAGAGAGAGAGAGACGGAGAGAAAGGAGCGTCGTCGAGTGTAAATTAAAAGTGATGCTTTGAAAAATCTGTTTAAGCTACGCTCTGTGGTAGACAGGCTTTTGCTAATTACAAAGAAAGCCACTGCGAATTTGTGATAAGCACTTATAACGCATCACCAACACATACACACACACACACACACACAACCCTAACGCGACTTGGAAACTACGCCACGTTACTACTTTTTTTTTTGTATTTCTCTCTCTTTTTTTTACATTTTAAAAACATATTATAAGTGGGCCAACAACAACTTCAAAACATTTATTTTTCTTTCTTATCGACTCGCTTCTCGCATAATTTTCAAATTAACTAAATAGTTGTTATCCATACAACACGTTGTGTATGGCCGATTGCATCCACTTAAAATTCACGAGTTGTCGATAATAACGGGATCACAAGTGTGCCGTGGTAAACCGCAATCGGTGATTATACTTTAAAGAGAGAGAGAGAGGGAGAGAGAAAATAGCAAAATTACTACTTGGACTGTACTAAACGCATGACGTCATAGACGTTCCTGATTATTCAAATGATTTTGAAATACGCGCGCTATCGTCTATTCGAGTAATGTATGTTTCTTTTTAAAATTAAGTATACTTCTTAGAGAATGTTGAAGAAAAGCTCACCTGGAGTCACGTAATCTGTAGCTACGATCTCCCTTGGCGGAGGTCAAAATATAAACGGGACTCTCCTCGGGTCCGCTGTCCTCTTGTTGGGATTGCGTCTGATGATCGCTACCCGCCAGGCTGCCATATTGAGGTGCATCCTCGGATCGTCCTGATGCCGAGGACGAACTCGAGGATAATGCCTTCTTCGTAGATGTACCGATCGGCAATTGGCCCTCGGCACCATAACCGGCCACCACGCTCGCCGTCCTACGGGACAGCGAAGCTGATTTTTTTCTGCCATTCGCTCGTTTCCTATACCTACGAACGTAACTTCGAACTCTTAACAATCGTCAATCGAACAACGATCAAATAATTAAGCCTGATTTTTATACAATTTTTTATATATTTTCCTTCTTGTGTTAGTATTAGAATTCTTTCTTTTTAATTGCTACACTTACTTAAAACAGCTTTTCAATCAGAAACGAAAGGAAGTACTTTTAACGAGCAATAACATCACTACCAATTACTTGCTCGATAATGGGCTATCGTTACACGTGCCATGGCAATTCAACGTTCATGAGAATAACAAGTCCAACGTTTGTAATACGAAAAGAAAAGCATTACATATCTTTCTTTTTTATTATATCGATTTTTAAAATCAATTTGCTCATCTTCTTCTTCTTCTTCTTCTTCTTCTTCTTACCTCTCTTCTTCTATATATTTATCATTCTTTTCTTCGAATCCTTCTTTGGTCTTTATTAAGATTTCCAATCCATAAGTAAAGATGAACTGACCTAACTAATCTTAAGAAAAAAGAACCTACGAGATAATTGGTAAACCTTTACCAACATTATCTTGTCTGTTCAATGTTCTCTAATCTCGTTTACTTATTCGATATCGAGTTATTTTAAAAGACAAGTATAAGAAATATGAACGAGAGGAACGCACGTACCAGCGCCAGGATGGAGCTAAGTAAATTCTCCTAGGTGATTTATCAAAATACCTGTTTATGTATGTAAATTGATTATATCAAATTAAAATGTAATACTTATTACCAGAGAGATTTAAAATATCAATCCTTAAGAGAGACAACAGTCTAAATACATTAGATGACCCAGAAATGATTTAATCACATTTGCGATCCATGACGATTCCAAATGGGAAATCCGTAAAATTGCGCGAATATTTTCAATATTGTGGGATACCGAAAAAAAAGTAGAGTAAGTTATTTCTCTCGCGAAGTGACGGTGGGTGATCGTGGTAAAAGTTCACTCACGTTCATCGGGGACCTGGAATGAGGAGGATTGATGAAAACTTGTTATCGGAGATTGGAGAAAGTGAAATATAACGCGATGGATTCCATAGTCTCTATACGTGGAATTCGTATTCCTCGAGGAAGAGATTCCCTTCCGTGTAGATCCCCCCAACCCTTATCAAAAAGCGCGTGTACTTTCTAATATTGAAGTGTTCAATACGTGTAATCTTTCCGTCAGATCTGTTTCTACATTTTTTTGAAATTTAAATCGCAGAAAAATGTGCAAACGTTGTTTCGCGAAAAGAAATATTTAATATAAGGTAGGTCTTTGGAATTTTAAGAATCTTTTGAATACATTTCCAAATGTTTCGAGATTTTGTGGGAATATAAGAAGAAAGAAAAGGGAGACATATGTTGTATGGCATGCATATGAATATGAAAAAGAAATGAAAGAAAACCGCATAGAGAGAACCGACATTTTGTTTGCTCGGACGAACGCGCGAAATTCGTATCAAAGATCTTTTGAGAACGAGTAAGCGGAATAACGGGAATGAAAGAAAGAACGCGTTTTAACGAAAGCGCGTGTCCCGTTTTCCATTGTAATCCAAAAATCCTCGAGCGAAAACAAACGGGCGTCGGCTTATCGCCCACCACCTCCTACAAACATATTTTGCATAATCTTGGTTATGGTAATCTGGCTTTTCAAGTTATTCGCCTGACCGTAATTATTCGTCAATTTTCTAACTTTTCCAAGCGTAATTTCTTTCCCTTTTTTTTTCCCCCCCACTTTTAATCATCGTTTTGTGTATTCCTCTTTTATTCTTAATATATCTCCAAGGGATATTTGAACTTCTGTTAGAATTTTTTGATCAAATAAATTACGAAGAGAAACTTTGAAGATCGACGAGTAGTATAAACATACACGTGCGCAAAAGGGCCTTGCGCATTTGAGGCTTTCGTAAAATGCAAAAAATTCGGGGAAAATAAAAATGAGACGAAATATAGAAAGATCAAGAGATCCTGCAAAATGTAGAGAAACGGGCCTGCACTTGCATAAATATGTATATCTAATGCATATACGTAAATGTATGTATCAAAAGAAGTAAACGTATAAATGGTATTAAAACGAAGAAAGTAAAAAAGAAAAAAGATCCGTCATTTTCTCCAAGAGGAGGGAGAAAAATAACGTGGAGTTTTTTGCCCGAGGATAAACGAGAGAACGACCAAAAGAAAATAATGGAAAGATAAAAGGAAGGAAGGATACGATTCGAGAAGGAAGAGGAGGAGACCAACGAGGGATGGAAAAGAAGGAAAAAAGACGAATGGACGTAGCAAAAGAAAATAATAAGGGTAGAATTAAAGAGAGAATTACGAGGGTGAAAGAGAGAGAGAGAGATACAAATTCAATTTCGCGCAGGGCAGTTTTCGATTAGGTGAAATATATATAGAGGACGAGCCCAAAGTTTTTTAGGTTGATTTTAAAAAAAGGAGAAAAAAATCCATTAAATTTAACTTTTTTCGAGACTTTTTTTAAAAAAGACCAATAACTTCTTTCCTTTTATTTTTTTTTTTCGATTTGTAAAGCTAAAAGTCTAATTGCGAGCTCGAAAAGTCTCGAAAAAAGTAAAAAGAAAGAAAGAGTAATGAATTTTGTATACTGCGTAAACAATTTAAAACCCGCCTAGAGGAAGACTTTTGGCTCATTCCAACCCAAGTTTGTATTTTCTTTCCTTTTGTCAGCCCTGATTATAACTTGCCTGTCGGAGGTGTCGCGCTCAAGGTCGATCATGTCGTCAGATATGGCGGAAAGAAGATTCGAAGAAGGGGTGGTGGTGATGATGGTGTCGTTAGCAGAGGCAATCGTGACGGTGGAGGACGTGGTGATGATGGTGGTAACAGAGGCAGGCTCCGTTTGGCAAGGGTTGTCATGCGGCTGGCTGGTCTGCGTGGAGCCCCCCGGGGGCGGGGGTGGGCCGCCCCTAGGCCGGCATTTTGGAAAAAGTCGGTTTAAGTCCGCGTTCTCCAAGATCAGGCTTGTCATCGCCACGTAACGTTCATGTCCCTTAGGAGTATGTCCATTCTGCAATTAAAACAAAACTAAATTAAAATCAATTGAAAGATAACACACACACTCACACATGCACGTACGCACGCACGCACAAATAAACAAGTAGGTATAGTCATTTCTGCAATTATTCTTTGGCAAATATTAAATCTCGTATACGTTCGCACGCATACATATTGATATAATATTAACTGTTTAATATTTAACAAATAATATTGAGATAAAAGAAAGAGAAAAATAATAAAAGCATTATAAATATTGTTAGTTCACGGTATCATTTATTTATTTAATAATAATTAATGAAATATTTGTTTAGTCTTTTATATATATTTACGTGCACATATAATATACGATATGGATATATTATTTTTTGTTGTTTTTGGGGTTAATAATTAGTACACAACGCGTAGTTCGTTAAGCGTTAATTCGTTTCTTCGGTTGCCTGGACTTAATCTGTTTCAGGTGAATCAATTGGAGAGAAGCATCGATGTGGGTGACGATGGGTGTCGATGGGTGTGCAAATGGGGGAGATGTGTCGATTTAAAGCAAAAAGGAATCGATACAGTGGATTCAGCTGAAAAGTTGATCCGACGATAGAGAGAAAGGAACCCGTCTCCAAATTGGTTATCAATTAAATGCTTTGTCACGTAATTGCTTCGATTCGAGAAATCAAGCGCTTCGCAGAGTGAAAATCCACCTTTCCTTCTCTTTTTCCCCCTCTTATTCACCACCCTTTTTATATTCGCTCATCCATTCGATGAGATAAGAACGATTCTGGATTAAACTCCGATCATTAATGGTATTAGACTAATATCTTAATGCGTTGTGTCTGCGGATCACAGAAACGAAGATAGAAAATTTAACAAAAAAATAAAAAAAATAAAAAGAGATTAAATTCAATAAAGAAAAAGAAAAAAAAGAAATAAGTTCAAAGAAGAGGGGAAATATGTGCCAAGAGTAATCTATTCGTTCGAGTGCAATACTATCGACGAGATATCGAAGGAAACATAGAAAGAGAGAGAGAGAGAGAGAATATTTCAAAGACGGTACAAAGCATTCGACATTAATAAATTCATCGCTTGCTTTCTTTTTTTATCACATTGCAAAGAGCAATTAAAAGTCAACTTTTACAAATACGAAGAAATAATAATAATAATAATAAACTTTTTCAAAGTATTAGTTGCATTCGTATTTACTTGCTTTAACGTTGTACAATTCCATTATGAGAAGAATGTCTATCGATTTCTTCCTCCCCCTCCCCTCCCTCCCTCCCCTTCCCTCCTCCAACTCCTCTTCTCTTCTCTTTTCTACTCTATTTTTCCGGAATACTCCGACGAATTTAAATCAACTTTAACTTTATCCTCGGCGTGTTATTTCGAACGAGCCTGACGACGACCCCGCCGCTGCTGCTGCTGCTGCTGCTACTGGTGGTGGTGGTGGTTTCGTTGCAATCGATTCAACTATATGTATTTTTTGACTCTGAATCCAAACCACCTTTTAATTTCATTTCAGGGAATCTATTAACAAAACGAAGAAGAAGAAGAAGAAGAAGGAAACATTGATCCTTATGAATAAATCAAAATACAAGATATTGTAATCAAAATATAGATAATTTTGCAAGGATATTATCTTAAAACTGAAGTTCCCATTAATAGAACTTGGCTGGTGTTTGACGATCACTCGACGAGCAATTAGGGTATTATTATTAACTTCGAAAGGACGTCGCGCGTCGAGTGCCATTTCTTTCCGCATATTTTTACAAGAGGGTAGTGCCGAAAGAAGAAGAAGAGGAAGAAGAAGAAAAATGAAAGGAACGGTGGCGTTAGGTCGAAAAAAAGAAGAAGAAAAAGAAGAAAAAAAAGAAAGTATGAACGTCGGTGGTTTGAAAGGAGTGACAAAAAATTCTTACGTCGTTCGCTAATGAGGCCGTACACGAGCCGGAGGATTACACACACCTACACCGAAATCCCAAAGCAAATCCTACCTTGGCTAGAACTTGTCTCTCTCCTCGCACACGTTTCATTTGCGGTGAGCTCGAAAGTGTTACTTCATACGTTGGCCCACCTTCAAAGAGGTTAAAGCGAGTAAGAGAGGAGGAAGACAGACGGAAGTTGGATACGAGGGACCATCTATCCCTCTCGTCAACTATGCTCGCTCTACGTTGTGTTGGTAGCGAAGAAGGGTGGAAACAGTCAGACGGTAATCCACTTGAAGCTGCAGGTGACTTCTGCTCTTGTGAGTTCTCCTCCCGTTCGTGTTCCTACTAGGTACCATCACTGTACTCCTCATCTATGTATTTCTATCTCTCTCGCTCGGTCTTATTCGAAGTTAGGTATGCGAGTTTATTTGGCACACGGGATGGCGAACGTTTCCTCTCTCTCTCTCTCTCTCTCTTGTGAAATGTTTACTCGTCCGTTCCTATCTTCTCTCCCTCTCTCTCACTTTCTGTCTGTTTCCTTAACTGATGTCGGAACCCACCAAGGGAGCATAGTTAATTGTCGGATGATAATTAGTGTTATCGTTCTAAACGTATGCGCAACAACATTCAAATCTACGTTCGAGTATGTAATTATTGTACTTGTTACACCTGTGACTAGGCGCTACTTGCTTCTTCTTTTTTTTTTTTTATTATTCAATATTTTCCATACACAATTATTTATAAATTGTTTTGATCGTAATATTTTTATACAGCTCAAATAATAGCACGACGCGGAAACGTTTATAGAGTAACTCGATATTTGCGCATTCTCCATTAGTCATTTAACGGTATATTTTGAAAAAGGCAACGCGATTAACAATTGATTTGGCAAAACAAGCACACGAAACTGTTACACGTTGATTTTATTCGTTAACCTTTACAATTGGACTCGGACAATGGTGCTTTGCTTGTTTGCTTCGCTTGCTTACTTTCGGGATTGTCTTGTTCGTTTGCTTTTTTTAGAATTTTTACCTTTCCTAATTCAAATGTTAGAACAAATTTTCATCTAAAGATATATAAAAATGATTTTGTATATATATATATATATATATATAATTAGAATTTAAATGACCAACTTTATATTACGTGTCGTGCAATTTTATTTTTCAAATTGTAATAGATGGATCAATTTATTTCGACAAAAGATTATACGTTTCGTCACGGATCTTTCGATTTATTTTAACACATATTCTCCCCATACCTACCTATTGTTATCAAATATTTTTCTTCCATATTTTATTTTGTTTTACAAATACATATATAAATATATCACTTTGGAGGAATAGAGGAAAGAAAAACAAAGATATAAAATCGTCAATGATGACGTGGGGGTATCGCGAAGCTTACGCACCAACGAATTTCAACACACGAAAATATTCTCTCTCTCTCTCTTTCTCCCTCACTCTACATCTCGATAGTCTATCACCTTTTTTGTTTGACTTTTTTTTATATTTTTTTTTTTTATACATAAACGATTTCGTGCCTCAACGATTTCGATGTATGCGAAAAATGCAGAAAATTCGCGTACGTACGAACGAACGAACGAATGAACGGACGAATGAACGAACGAACGAACGAACCCCCGACGATTTATATGCGTTTCTAGAGATTTTCCTCGACGATAAAAAGTTCCGGCTCACAACAGGAAGATGAAAAAAAAAAGAAAGAAATAAAGGAAGCTAGTAGCACAAAAGCTAGCCAACGAAGGTATCTCCTATATAACCGCGGTTAATTAAAAAGACGATAAACCGATGATGCGTTGAAAACCACCAGAACGGATATCGTCCTTCGAAACGTCAGATAGAGAGAGAGAGAGAGAGAGAGAAAGAAAGAAAGAGATTATTAATTTCACTCGTTACTTAGTATCATACAGTTATATTTATCATGTGTGTGTGAGTTTGAGTACCCCTCCACCCCATCGATCTATTATGGAAGATACGAATTTTCCTTCGAACTCTCCAAGATCATTCGCAGTGGTAGTAGGATTTCTATTATTAAAATTAGAAATAATCGATATATGATATATGTGTGAGACATAAAAATCGAGAGAGTATCTCTTTTTAAAATCGTTTCTTATTAAATATATGCATTTATATATAGATCGTGATTAACGAATATTTTATATTTCAAAAGTACATTATTCCGGATGATCAATTTTTTTTATTAACATTTCTTATATTAAATAATCAATAATGTCTATTAATATTTATCTCAAATTCCCATTATTATTCATTCACGTGATCCGATGATAAAAAGAATACGAAAATAACAAAATTATCAAATATTAAAATACATTCGAAATATAGCCCGTTTTTTTTTCCGTACACTCGTCTTTTATTTTCTTGGATAAAAATTGAAAGAGAAAAAAAGAAAAAAAAAAAAAAAGAAAAAATATAAAAAAAGTCATCGAAGAACGAATGGAACTTAACGCCGTCCCGTTAGTTTTTTAGATCGAACGATAAAATCTTTTTTTGCCATGCCGAGGGAAAAATATAACACATACAGACATGATTATGATCGGGGTATATCGGGGGAGTAAATGTAATAAAGACAARAGAGAGAGAGAAGAGTTTTGGGAATAGGAGGGTGGTGCTTGAGTCACTTGATGACGCGTACGAATTTGCTACCCTTCAGATATATATATATATCTCTCTCTGTTTCTCATTCGTATGCCGTGTGACTCAGTTCTGAATTACGAGTAGCTCGACTAGCCATATATTCATTATCGTATTATGGTCCCCCTTCGATAGATATGAAAGGGAAAGGGGAGATATACTGTGTTCGATCGGTTCGTTTCTGCGAAAGCACGTATCTTCTGTCAAGGCGATGGCATCGTTTCAATGATCAACTCGTCAAAGACATGTGTATATGTGTGTTGAGATCAGATGATGGGATCTGTGAGACGATTAAAACACAACATCTTCTCCTTTCGTGTATCCTGAAACCTGAATATATCCAATGACATTCGACACTATTCGATATCTATGCTACGTCTGTATTTCAATATATATATATGTATATATGTATGCATGTATAT